AGATATGGCTTTGAGCAACCTGCTTTAGTGGAAGGTGTCCTTGCCTGAGGCAGGGGGTTGGAATTGGATGTGCTTTAAGGTCCCTTCCAATCCAAACAAGTCTGGGATTCTGTGATTTATTGTAGTAAGACAGAAAGTGCTGTGTTTGATATGATTATGGCAAATGGACTGGCCCATACTTGACCTGTCTCCTTTGGATGGCCGATGTAGACAGATAGCGAATGTTTACCTATTGTGAAAGAATGAACTTTTGACACCTGTTTGACAAGGGAGGAAGAAAGAGGCAAATTCAGTTTTACAGTATACACAATTTTAATAACAAAACTTTTCTGTACACTGCACTTGGTTTTACTCCATCACTTACACCCCCTCCCACCAGAAGTTGCCTCTTTAAACATAATTTAAATAGAATGCATCAAGGACTCTCTTTAATCTCTGGTTGCTAAGCTGGTAGAATAGGTCACTTGCTAATGTCTTCATCAGTAAAAAGAGAATTGGGGTTGGTTTTGTTTGGGGTTTTATACAAAGGAGTGGTTCAAGGGGAGCAGTTGTAGCTCAGCAGTGCTCACACCAGAGGTGCCCAACTGTACTGTGTTTGCCCTTAGTGCAAGTTTTGCCCAGTCTGAGGCTTGATTTTATCTATCAAAGCTTCTGTTACCTCTTGAAAGGTTTTTTACAGGATATGAAATGCTGAGTTTCCAGTTGACTTTGAAATGATCTTAAAGCATCCTGCTAGAGTGATGGCTTAAGAAGCAAATCCTGGCACCAGTTTTAGCATATGGGACTTGTAGTAGAGAAAGGCATGGGGATGGAGGAGCTGCCTTTGGTTTTTGTTGTTTCCCTCTTGTTCCCTTTTTTGGGGGAGGAAGAAGAAATACTGTATCCCTCACTGAACTTTTAATTTTCAGGGAAAACTTCATCAGGAAGATGAAATTCAGCTTCTGGGTAGATTTCATAGGTCTGAACAGATGGATTTTGATAGCTATGCAGATCACAAAATTAAATCCACTTTATTTTCATTGAAGTAGTACAGAAATTGGCTTAGACACATTAAATAAAGGGTGTAGTTCAGGTTTCTGGTTTAAAGCGGCTGGATATTTCTGATTTGACATGTTAGCAGCAGGCCATTGTCTTCTAAGGGGGGTAATGGGACATAAAGCTCAGCTGCTTAGATTTGCTTATTGCTGAAAAATCGGATAACTTCTGCTTGGGGGAAAGCAAACAAAACCAAACATTGATACAGCGGCATTAATTATGTTTCCATCTGATAGGAAATGGGAGCCCCGTGCAGAGGAGCACTTCAGCTGGAGACTAACCACTAACCCATTTTACTCTTCATCAAGTAATCCTTAGTTGTGTGCATTTAAACATGATCTAATGCAAAGCAACTAACGAGAGGGGAACTGGAAGCATTAATTCAGACCTGTTCCAGTGTGATGACTCAAGTTGGACTGGTACTGCTGGCCTTCATTTCCCTGATGCAGGGTGGGGAGGAGCAGAAGCTGGCTGGAGATGAGCGAGGCTGGAGGAGGCCTTTGGGTGGGACATGGATCTTGAGAGCAGTAGGAGAAGTTCTCTTTTCTAAAAGGCCCTGACCTCTTGCATGAGGCTGTGCCTGGAGGGGGTGAAGCACCTGTAGAGTACCTTTAGAAACTGAGGCTGAGCCACAGAGATATTTGGGGAGAGCAAGTGAACAGCCTCTCATCATCAGCCAGTGCTCATGCCGAAGTACAATTAATTTAAACCAAATCATCACAGTTCTTGTGCCATAAAATTAATCAGAGACTGCTGAGTAACACCATTATTACAATACCCTCCTTTCCTGGAAGAGTCACAAGCATTGAGAATGGAAGACAGTAACTTAAAAAAAAAAACAAAAAAAAGAAATAATAAAGAAAGCACAGCCTGTGGTTGTGTCCTTGTGTAAAGCTCTGCCTGCCGTTCCCTGTCTCTCCTAAGGGAATTCAGGCTGACTTCACTGCTAGTGTTTGACATTCTGTGAGTTTTATGATACCTGTTACCCTAAATGTAATGTTTGCAGAATTGCTCTGCTTATGCCTGGAACCTGGCAACAAATGGTTTTGGAAATGGCAGGCATAAACCACGGCATTTGGGAGATTGGCTGCGTATCTCTGTGTAGTGAGAGGTAAAACTCTGTGCGGTGCCGTGCGAGGCTGTGTCTGCTGGACCCTGCTCTGGTGCCTGTGAGCCAGGGCAGCGCTGCAGGACCAGTGGGACTAGGAATGCTGGTGCGGGAGAGGAGTTGGGCGCCTGAATGTCTTTGCTTTAATGCTTGGGAAATTGGTATGAGGGCTGGGATGGAGAAGAAGATTAAATCCAGCATTGCTGGAATGTGTCTTTACTCTTCCTGGGCATAACTATATATATATATATATATATAAAGATGGAGTGAGCCTCTGCCCAGAGTGTTAGGAAAGTACCTCTTCAGGAGGCACCTTGGTGCTTCAGTCAAGCGGCCACTTCTCGTTTCCATGCGGAAGACTGATGTGGTACCTCCTGAACTGCCTTCCAGCAGGGTTTCTCCTGGGCATGGAGGAGAGAGGTGGAATTCCTCCTTGCAAATGCAGCTGAGGACATCAGAGTTCAGCATGGACATCTGATAATTGATGTTTGTGTAGCCAGATTACTTGACTGCCAGTGTAATTAATGAGCTCAGTTATAACTCAGTCTTGGTGGTTACCCTCCAGCTGTATATGAGAATCACCCCCAAAATATCTGCTTCCCAGTGCCGGCCATCATATTGGAGGTAAGGGAGGTGCGTGGTGGTGCCTGCTTGCCTGCCCAGAACAGAGCAAAACCCTGGCCATAAGGGAAGAGCTGTGAGCACTTACTCCTAGTGGTAAGGAAGGAGGCAAGTCTTCCCTGATGCCCTTGGACACCAGTACCTTCTTGTATTTGTCAGCTTAGGTCTGGCCTTCTGGTTTATGTAGAATTTAATCATACAGAATATTTGCTGTCTGTCCCCCTGCCCCGCAGGATTTATTGTATTCAGTTTAAAGCAGTAATTGATTCCCTACAATAGGTGTAAATCAGCTCCTTGGAGTATGACTAGTTAGGAGGGTTCAAATATCTCTATGGAAAACCATTAGGCTTCACTGAAGCTCTTCCATGAAAGTACAGAGTCACAGGAAGTAAACAAAATTTGTTTTATAATAAGGGCACTGGATGTGAAAGCAAAATGATGCAAATTAATATCTTCAAACCCAGTCATTGAAGAAAAAGCTTTATGTAAAATCTGAACAGAAGTCACTTATCTTGCTAGAATTGCCTTGGACGAGTTCATTTCACAATAAAACATCAAACTGTTGTATAATTGCACCCTAAATACCTCACTAAGTGGTAATACAGATATAGAAAAGCAGAGTGAAATAGCAAACAGATTTTTATGCAGTATTTTCTTTTCCATTCAGAAAGTTTGCAGAGTAGTTGAGTACAACACAATTAGCATACTGCAATTACTGATTTGGTCAAGGTATGGCAACACTGTGAGGAATTTCTTCATCCGTGTGTGCTGGGAATTGTTTGACACTGCAGCATTGGACACAACACATCGGGTTTTTTTGAGTTATACATACATGTATATATATATATATAAACCCCTTCCATCCCTCTGGTCCTTTTAGCTTTGGTTAGAATGTTTCCAAAATTGGAGCAGTTGACTTAAAAATACTGGAATCCTTTGCAGCTCCCCCCTTTCTCCCCCCATGGCACCCGAGTACCAGCACCACTGCATAGATCTGCAACTATTTACATAGGATTTCAGAATAGAGTATAAATAGCAATATGGTACTTCTGCCTCAAGAAATCAAATTGCTCCTGAAGAATGAGGTGCATGTGTGTGTTTATATATTTCTATATGATTTTTTTTAAACATGTACTAGTTTAAATTCTGTCCCATATCAAGTAAGAAATGAAACATTTTTTCAGTGAACTATTCTATAAACTGATGATATTATCCTAATTTACCAGAAGGTTGGGGTTTGGGGGTTTAAAACTGGTAGTTACCTTGAATTTTGGAAGAGGAGGACAAGTGGGAGCTTATATTACAGGGGCTAATTCTGTCTCCAGAGAAACCAGTGGAGTTAGTGCATGAAAATAGCTTTCAGGAGAGAGTCGCGGGGGGGGGGGGCAGCGGGGGGACAAAGAGAGGCTTCTTCCTCCCTTCCCTCTTCTCCTCACTCTCCCGCTTGGTATTTACTTTTAATTAAGAAAAACTTGCATTAAGGGTATTTACACATGAAATGCTGTTTGTTCATAGGCGTATGTAATTAGCCTGAATTCATGAAAAGCAGCAGCGAGGCAAACCAGAGAGCCGATAAGAATTGAATGCACTTAATATTTCAAATCGATCCTGTTGTACTGAGCCTTCCTAAACAAGCTACGCTGCCACTTTGTAAGTGCCTGGAGAGTCCTTCGTGCTCATTTGTGATCGTCCTCCTAATTTGTGATTACCCTGCTCATTTGTGACCGTGTGACCTGCTCCTTTCTGTAGCTCCTGTGAGCTTTAAAAAGGTCCAGTTAAGCCAAACCGAATGTGCAGGTAGGAAAACTGTATTTAAAATAAATCCCCTGGTCCCCAGTGCACTGAAATTCCCACCTGGACCTTTGCTGCTCTTTTTTTGTTTCCCCTCCCTTCTTTTTGTTTGTATTTTTAACTGGAGTGGGATTATGAGAGGAGGAAAATCCTCCTCCAGGGCTGCCTTTAAAGTGACCGGAGCCAGCTGGAGCGGTTGGGATCCTCCAGCTGCAGTGGAACAAACGGAGCGTATGTCCCCCTGCAGACCTCTGTGCCCTCTCCAGCATCCTTCCCCTCACACTGTTTTCAGTAGCAAAAGTCGAATATGGAGACTCAGGTCTAAATGTTTACACACAGTCATAGAATTACATAAACATGAAACATTATACAGAGTCTGAGGTGAGCATCTTTTGAGACTTTTCAACATTAGGAGTGCAAGTTTAATGTAATCCATTGCTTCTTTAACACTGAAAATAGTATGGGTTTATTGTTTAAAAAAGAAAACCAAACCAACTTAAAAATACTGCACCACTCCATAAACAATGTTTCCATTAAGTAGCTTGGAAAATTAGGCTTTATGTCAACATCTGTAAAAATTAGACTCTGATGTAGGTCCCCTACAATTTTAAAATAGGTTACTTATCTGGTTTCATTTGGGATGGCATGTGGGTATTATACTTCACATTCTTTGTACGGCAGCTGCTGACACTTGCACTGTCCGTAGCCGTTAATGATGATGAAGGGTCCTTCGTGGGTGGGTTCGTATTCGTTATAGGGTCCTTGGTCTGACATATTTGCCATATGCAGCCGCGTTTGGGAGCGGAGCTGCCTGTGGTTTTGAATCATTGAGCACTGCCTAATTCTTCTTAATGTGGGAGGGCAGCACTTCCTGGAGATGAACACTATAAAAATGATAAAAAAGAAAGAAAACAATAAAGCCATTGTTCCTGTAATTACCCTCTGAGTGAAGATGGCATTGTTTGGCTCAGGGAAATGTTCTTCGGTGGTAACGACCATGCCTGCTGTAGTTGGAATCTCTTTGTCTCCCATATGAAAATGAGACGAGCTTATTCTTTTGGGGTACTCAGTAGTCGGAGCTGCGTAGGTCGTAGCCACGGTCGTAACAACAGTTGATAAATTCCAGCAAAGCTGAAAACCATAGACTGCATCCAGAATATCCTCTCCCTGGGTGTGGTCGGGGCTGTGGCAGAGGATGGAGTGCTCCCACCGACCTTGGAAGCCACTCAGCCATGTGGCCAAGGCGCAGATCTTGGGGCTGCATTCCCACAGATTGCCGGAGAGGCCCACGGTGGTGAGGGACGTCAGGGAGCTCAGGATCTTGGCATCCAGGGTGGTGAGCTTGTTGTTATCCATTAGGAGGGTTTTCAGGTTAGGCATAGTTTCAAAGACGGTGAGGTCGATGGCTTTGATTTCGTTTCCAGTCAAATCAAGCTTTTCTAAGGTGCCCCAGGTCCACTCCATCCCACATGTCAAGTTGCTGATTTTGTTCCACTGCAAGAAGAGCGTGTGCAGGCTGCTCAGCCGGAGGAAGTGAGCAAAATTAATCTTTGTCAGCTGGTTGTGCTCGAGGTGAAGCTCCCTCAGCTTGATTAATCCTGCAAATCCATTGCGAGCCAAACTTCGCAAGCGGTTTGTGCTCAAATCCAGGAACTCCAGGCTACGACAGTCCCAGAACAGACGGACCGGGATGGTCCGCAGGGAGTTGGATCGCAAGTGCAAGGTCTGTAGCTTGCGAAGGCCGTAGAAGAGCTCGGGGTGCAGAGAGGATAACTGATTAAAAGAGAGGTCCAAATTCTGCAGGTTAAGCAGCTGGCTAAAAGTTGTGTTTGGCAAATGAAAGATTTTGTTGGAACTTAAGACTAATTCCTTAAGTTTATACAGTCCTTGAAAAGAATCTTCTCTGACTGTTGCAATTTGATTATGATCTAAGTGAAGCCAAGTAAGTTGACTGAAGCTTGCAAATTGATCCCTTTCAAGTTCAGAAATATAATTGTGCCTCAGTGACAAACCTAGCGAGCCCTTTTCAGTGGTGTTTGGCACTGAGTGATACCCCTGAGAGTCACAGTAAAAGAGCAGCTTCTCACAGCGACATTTTGGTGGACAAGCCATGCCCAAGGCAGGCAGCATTTTTAAAACCATACTCATTGCATATAGTGCTGCCAGCATACGAGCCCCTAATGGCCACTTGAAATGTAAGCCTGCAGAATATAATTTAGGAAAACAACAAGATAGGATAGCCTGATCAGTACACTTTGAACATCACGGTGGAAGATTTCACTGCAGATAACATTGCCATGCATATCCGACAAGCTAATTCTAAATGCAAGAAACAACTTACTATGAAAAACAAAACACTTGGATATTACACTTAGGATCAGTCTTTAGCTCTATTACAGGGTCACAATTGGAAAATATATCTTTTTTTTTTTTTTTTTCATAAGGTTCAGTGCAGAAAAATTGCCTTTAGCATCTACCAGCTCCTCTCCAGCCCAGCCAGTCATTCACTACCCAAGGTATAGAGAAACGCAGAACTTACCCATTCTTTTGAGTACATTGGAGGTTGCATTCAGTCGTAGTTTTAGACTCAACGTGGTGAGTCTGTCAAAGGCTCTAATGTAAGACAGCCTTTGAATAATTTACCGGGTTCAGTGTCCTTTGATATTAGTGCAAAATTGAATCCACGAGGCTCTCTTGGAATATTCCTTTTGAAATCACTGGCTTGATCTCCTCTGACAGGTCTGCGATGTTTAATTTGAGGCTTAATACAAGTTCCTGTCCTCTGTGGCTGCTCAGCTGTTTAAGTGAAGCTCACGTTTTCTTTTTCCGCAGCTGTGGCTTCCTTTAGTCCTAACTTGTTGATGGCAGATGGGTGGCTTATTGCTGAGAGAAGCTCCTGTAGTAGCATGAGTGCATTTACTGAAAAGCTTTTCAGGGAAGCGGTACAAGAATGGATTTGCTTATGCGCTGCGACCACACAGGGCTGTATATAGGCTGACGTCACCTGGTGACGTTCCTTTTGTTTGGGTTTTCCAGAAGCTTTGCTGTTTTAAAAGCATTGTGGTGCATACTGTGATCGTGTTAAAGACCACCGATAAGAGGAGAGGGGGAGAAAAACCAACAGCAGGAGCCGTTCATCCCCACGACTGAAGGAATAGGGAGGACTTGCAGCACCCCGCTCCCCCCACATCCGTGCTGGCTGGAGCCAGTTGGCGTTAGGAGCCGCGCAGAGCTGCGGTTGGAAGTGCCTCGGTGCTCGCTGCTGCCAGTTTCTCTTAAATATCACAGCATAAAAGGAACTTTGAGATGCAAAATAAACACAGTTTGAATAGAGGAGGCTGGTCAGCACCAGCTTTTCACAGAGGTGAGAGGGATTTGGCAGCTTAAAGCTCTGCCTGACAACTGTGTGCGACTGTGGTCCCTGCAAAAGTGGTAGAGGGAGAGGGGACAGGGATTTAGGTGAGGGTGGTGTGTCAAAGTGCAGCACACAGCCTGGAGCGAGGGACAGGGGTGGACAATTCAAGTGATGAGAAAGTTCTGGAAAAAGCAAGGCTTGCGTTTGGGTACAGGAAAAATTTAATTGGAATCCAGCTTGACAGCAGGCAGTTATGAAACTAGAAAATCTATTTTTTCCCCCTGCAAACGGTGGCTTTTGTACTTGCTTTTTTCCTGGGGACTGGAGTGCAGGAGAGGGAATGGTGAGGTTGGTGTTCACAGTCAGGGCTCAGAGTGGTTGGAGGGTGTCCTCCTGGTCACTGCTTCCATTCTGGTATTCCGTGCTCCCTGTGGAACTGAGGACATCACCTCTGTTAGCATCTCGCTGTTAGCAGGTCTCTAACAGTTACCTGGGTGGGTTAGAGTTGCAGGAATCTGCATTTGCAGAGGCAGTGACCTGCAGAGCTGCCTGTGTTGGTGCAGCAGAGCCAGGCTCTGGCCGGAGATGCAGGCACCACGAGGTGCACGTGCTGGTGTGGCTGCTTGTTTTAAAAGTTCATTGTCCCTGTTTCTGCTCTGCTCTGGGGAGAAC